CAAGAATGTTCTTTCAATCTCATTCAATCCCCAGCCCACTTCTCTTGACTGCAGCAAAGGAAATTCCAGCGTCTGAGCAACTATTCCTCTTCCCTGGATGTGTCAGACATTTGGGGCCACATGGGTAGATAAAGAGCTCTTCTGCTGACTCATTTGGCAGCCAGATCAGGTGGGTTTCCTTGGGTCCAACACAGGGCTAGAAAAGGGGCTAGGAAAAGCTAAAGGGGGAAGGAGGAAAGGGGGGGAAACCAGGGCTCTCACAGAAGCCACTTCAGGAAAGAATTGGTCCTACTATTTGTTCTTGCAAATGTTCAACATGCAGAAATTCAACATTCAAGACACCAAGATTTGCCACATCAGAGAGCTTACATGAAGGACTCAAGAAAAGCAAAGGTCAGACACTCTGCATCTGAGAACGATCTCTGGCCCTTTGAGCTTTTGCCTTGAAATCCATATCCAAGATGTCAATAACCCGAGAAGTATTTTACTGTGGAACTAGGCAAAGAAAGGAGCAGTGAAGAGGTACTTAAGATGTATACCAAATCTTCTATCACAGGTTTCCTCCAAATATCTTAGTGGCACAGTCCTGAATCTATTTCTGCAACCAGGTCCCTCACTACAGCAAGAGGTAATAGTTAACTGCTTCCAAAAGCAATGTTGTCTTTTAACACATTAGGTATCTTGGGGGGGCTGGATCCTTAGACTGTAAAGCCTGGGTTCAGAGAGACATGTAAGAATCTGTTTTGCTAATTTGATCATAGATCTTTGTGAAACCTTATCTCAGCCATGAGCTTGACTGATAGTCAGTATACAAAGCAACATGAACACAAAATGATAACAAAGATGACTAAGTACTACAAAAATAAACTAAGAGCTTACTCAGATAAAGTTAAGAAATCCATATCAACTACTAGGACCCTGTTCTTTTTATTGTTTTTGCACACAGCTGTATGCATGGCAGTACATTCCCAAGAAAAGGAAAACCAGCAAGAATGCTCATGGAAGTCTGTGTTCTCATGAACATTTGCACCTGAATAGCAGGTCCTGCCATCTCTGAATGCTTTCTGTAGGCCTGGGAGTAGAACTGCTCTCAATGGAATTTAAGGGACCCAGTGCACATCACAAAGTTTCTCTTTGCAGGTCTTCTACGTTGCTATACCCTGGCATGATTCTTTTGTGAAGTAGTACCTTTCCAGGCAATTTTTTACAGTATTTCTAGGTTTATATTATCCAAGTAGGATTTTTAAGCTTGTTGGAATAGTACTACCCGATTTCAGCTATCCCGAAAGCACCATAAACTGTTTCAGTATTACAAAAATAACAACTCAACTGATCTCTATTACGTGCCCTGTCAGTTCTATTGTGGATGCACAAATAAAGACTTTATATCTTGCTGCCACAGTATAATCTCAAAAGCACTCAGAAAACATACAGGATTTGTCAATACAAAGTTTTGCCCTCCAAGAAATAGTGCCTGAATGGTAACATTCAACGATAAAGAAGGTATTTGGGTATAAACTATTAATGGAAATACCTCAACCATTTCACTGGGAAACACGATTCATTCTTATTAAAATGAATTTGCTACTAGTAAATATATTGCTAAATCTTACCTGAAAGCTGCTTTCTAGTGCAGCTTCTAGAAACAAGAATTGCACCTGATTCCTCTGGGCAAAGATGGAACTTGGAACACACCTGGGAAAACATCTGGGTTTATTGCCGGATACTGAAATGACATGCTGAGACACAGGTTAATTCACATTCTATTTCTGTGGCCTGTCTTCTGATCCATGCAATGGACCCTTGCTTCTCTCATGAACTATCACCACAAAGCTGACTTTCAGGTGAAAGCGGTGCTCTCTTTCCCCTTTTGATAAATAGATGGTAGTAATCTTTTATTCACACACATACTCCCTTATTTTATAGAGTTTCCCTGTGTCACCAGTTATAAAACCAGGAGTTTTCTGCTTCTTACACAAGAGGGGTAGTTACATTGTGTGGTATTACAGATGCCTATCTCTGTCTAAGATGAAAAATTAATCACTGTGAGCTATAAAAGCAGGCCCTTTTCATATTTTTGGTGAATTTAGCTGCTATTTTGAATGGTTTACATTTATCAAAATATTTTCCATTTCAAACACCAGCCTTGAAGGAGACATCTCTGAACTTTAAAGGAAATCTACATTAAGCTCAAGGTAGCAGCTTCTACCGTTAAATATTTTTAAACACAGCAAGCTTGAAAAAAACAGGTTGTTTTCTGGGTGCAGTTAGATAAAGCGATAAGAATCTCTTTAGATACTTCCTCCTTTGCCCACAAACATGGGGAGTATCATTCCACAAGAAGCACTTTTATCTCAGTAGTCTTTCATGGCAAAGAACCACTGTTGAAGGCATTGTTGAAAGCTATCAAAAGGAAAAAGGACACACACCTTCCCATTCCTTTTATGTATGTATATCCCTGTATTCATATATAATCAGTTCAAGTTTGAAGAGCTGACAAACTTGATGACAGAAACATTATGGTATGTGTCAACTAGTACAGCATCACCTCAAGGAATAATCACAGAATGGCTGAAGTTGGAAGGGGTCTCCAAAAGTCATCTGGGCCAACTGCCCTGCTCAACCAGGGCCTCCTAAAGCCAGTTGCCCAAGACCATGTCCAGATGGCTCTTGAGTATTTCCAAGGATGGAGACTCCACAGCTAGTCTGGACAACCTGTGCCAGTGCTCAGTCACCCTCACTGTAAAACAGTGTTTCCTGATGGGGGGAATCTCCTGTGTTTCAGTTTGGGCCCATTGCCTCTGGTCCTGTCACTGGGAATCACTGAAAAGTGCCTGGCTCTGTCCTCTTTGCACCCTCCCTTCAGGTATCTATATACGTTGATTGGATCCCCCTGAGCCTTCTCTTCTCCAGGCTAAATAGGCTCAACTCTCCCAGCCTCTTCATAGGAGAGATGCTCTGATACCTTCACCATCTTTAATCACCCTTCTCCAGACACTTCAGAGAGGCATCTCAGCATGCTGACTTCCTAGAAACGGCTTGGGGATTTCTCCATAATGGTGACTTGTAGACACTTTCTTGTATACATGCAAGTGCTGGAAGTAACATCCTAAAACCTATTTTGCTGATTTTGTAATCCCTTTCCATCAACCACCCATGCCCTTTGCTCAGGTAACCTGTCACCCTGTCCCTCTGTCCCTCATCTGTCATTCTTGGTTTAAAGCTCTCCTGATGGAATCAGCCATCCTATTGGCAAAAATAGGTTTATCCTATAAGCAGACGCTTACGTGCAAACAAGCATAAATCCCAAAACCCTGTTGCCAACACCAGTTACGCGGCTAATTATTGGCTTGTCCTGTTAGTGCCCTCCTCCTCACTCCCTCTCCCCTCACCAGCAGGCCTGAACCAACCACCTGGGCTCCCATGCCCCTGGCATCATTCACTCCCACATGGAGCAACAGCAGGAGGTCATAGTCAGAGGACTGGATGAGCTTCAGTAGTTCCTCCACTCCACAGCATCCCAGATCCTGGCTCCCAGAAGGCAGCAAACCTGTCTGGACAATTGGTTGGGTTGACAGATGGGTGCCTCTGTCCCCTGCAGCTGGGAGTCACTCATTACAATGACTCACTGTTCATTCCTGGTAAGTCTTGCACGGTTTGGAGTTAAGTGGACCATGTTCTTTGCTTGAAGACACATATAGCTCCTCATCAGCTCTGAGAGCAGTGAGCCTATTTTGCAGTTGTGTTAAGTGGGGCAGGAACCTTCTTGCTGCCAGAAGTCCCTGGCTTCCATCCTTCCCCTTCTCCAGAGGTTTTGCTAACCTTAATAGTGCAACGTAGACACTGCCTGCTTCCTTGCTGCAGATGGGATCTGGGGCTCTTCAAGCTGTTAAGTTTCAGAGAAAATCCTGCCCGTCTCTATTTCATCTTCTCTGATGTGGTGCAGGCTGCCCACTGCATTCTGCAATTCCTACATTTGGCAGCACAGTTTCTCCAGGACAGCACCCCTACTGAAGAGCAGAGGGACATCATTCCTGGCCCCACAGAGCAGTCCCAGCCACTCCCTGCCAACCAGGATTTGGAGGGCTGCATCAGCCATCTGGAGCTCAGTCTGTCTGGAAGCTGTATTGGGTTTGCATGGCAAGGTTTTGGTAGCAGCAGGCCTCTAAGGGTGGCTTCTGTGAGAAGCTGCCAGAAGCTTCTGTCCAATAGAGCCAATGCTGGCGCAGCTGGTGAAGAAACCATGGGAAGGACTCATGCCAGAGAAGTTCATGTCTCCTATGGGACAAAACCCACACTGGAGCATGTGAGAGCGTGAGGAGTCCTCCCCTCAGGAGAATGGAGCAACAGAGACAATGTGTGACAAACTGACCATAACCCCCATTCTCTATCCCCCTGCACTGCTGCTGGGGGAAGAGGTACAAAATTTAGATGTTAAGCCCGGGAAGAAGGGAGGGGTGTGGAGAAGGTATTTTAGGATCTGGCTTTATTTCTCATTATCCTATGCTGATTTAATTCGCAATACATTGAACCGAATTCCCCAAGTTGAGTCTGTTTTGCCCATGACTGTAATTGGCGAACTCTCTCTCTATCTTGACCCATGAGGCTTTCATTGTATTTTCTCTCCTCTATCAAGCCAAGGAGGGGAGTAACAGAGTGGCGTTGGTGGGTACCCAGTGTCCAGCCCACCACAGAAGCTTTTGCCCTAGCACTATCTACCAGGAAAATCGCTCAAAACATCTACTGGGGAAACTGAAGCAAAACACAGGAATGTTTCATTTGACTTAGATTATGTATCCAACCACAGCAAAACAGAGCAGATTTCAAGGGGAGATGATGAAACTGCACTTTACATAAAACTGAGCTTTATACCATAATGCTGACAAGGGCATCATTCCTTTCAGGCTGAAAAGTTCTACCCAACACCGTCATTTGATAGAAAGGCTAAAGGGAAGGAAAACGTGGACCACTCCAAATGAAAAGACAGATGCAGAAAACTGTAAGGTGAAAGGCTTTGAGAAAGCTGCTTGTATTTGAAAATTCCAGAATCAGGTAATTTCTAAAAATATTTAAATAAAATAATTCATTTATGAAAATGCATTAACCCAGGAAGAGCAAAACCCAAAACACAAACATTCAGTATGAAGATTTTCTTTACAATAAAAATTCTTTTAGGAAGTATATTAAATGCGACAAGAGCAAAAAAAGAGAAAACATCTCATAATTTATATTCAAGGGCATCACATTTTAGAACAATGTCTTAGCCATCAATCGTTCATAAATGATTCACAAAGAAATTAAATATGCTATTCCGTAAGAGAATAATCTAACTTACGGTTTAAGATGTAAGGCTTCACCGTAACATCTCCTAGCCTTCCCACCTGACTCTTGACATACCCAAACTGAGTGATCTGTACTTGCTCTCCTACACGAGCAACGCAGCGTGGTGGTCCTCAAACACACAGGTAGTGTTCAGGTTTCATTTTTAAGGTCCAGCAAAAAAGTATTACTAGAGAGTGTTATTATTATTTGTGACAATAAAAGCAAATTAAAAGCTAGGAGAAATAAATAAGTTACATTTGCTTGTCTAAGACTGAGGGAATCGATTCAACTATACCTTGCAGAAAAAGTACCCATATCTGCTAGTTATGCCATTGTATGGCTAGTCACTGTGCACAACTGGGACATCGCAACTCCAAATCACATGCTGGACATATAGTGCTCCCTTTAAACAAAGTATGAACTTCCGGTGAAAAAGCTAGGGGGAAAAATATAGTCAAGAGAACTATCCATCTCCATAGCTATCGTATGCATAAGAACTATTTGCTTTACAGAGCTCCAGTTTTTTCAAAATACTGATTGTAATACTGATGACAATAATGTCCCTTGGTATGCTTATGCATCAAGTACAAATCGGAGAAAAATCCTGCCCCAAACACTCATTCTCAACTACAGATCATTGCCAGAAATCTCATATTTGCAGTACAGTTACCTGGTGTTGCAGTCAACACATTAATTCTGCAGACCACAGTCACAAGTACTTACTTAAAATACAGATATGGTTTCTAAACGTAACGTGAAGCTTTATTTAAGATGACAAAGCTTTTGTAACAGTGCAGGGTGCAAATTTTCAGTACGAAGACATTCAGAAGATTTGTTGCTCAAAAAGGATCTTTTCAAACCCTGGTGGAGGTGTGTGATAAAATTCACTGAACTGACAATCCAGAATGGCACTGTCATCAACTGCAGAAGAGAACCAAAAGAAGGAATCAGAGAAGGAGCACTTACACACTGATCCTCTACTACACTGTCTTACTAAGTTACACACCATGCCCAAACCAGGAAGAATATTCTCCAATTCATCCATTATATGTATCTAATACATTTAAAAGACATCCCTTCAACAAACATGTTAAAGCCCTACACACACAGCCACAGAGAGGAAATCATCCTTCTTCTCTGCTGTTTTCTTTAGTCAGTAATGGTCCTTGGTGCAGCCAAAGGGAATGCTACCTCTGATTTCACTATAAGCATTAGCAGGGCTTTAGACCATTTCCTCAAAATCCTCTATTTCTCCAGAAATCTCCAGACTAAGGACACTACTGACACCCATGGCAGAGGTGTCACCTCCTCAGCTGCATATTTTTCTGTCCACTTTCTAATTCTGCTGGAGTGTCATCTGTGCGCAATGATTTTTCAGGAGATTTACAAGGTTTCAGATGCCTGCAATGGCTGGTGTCAGACCATCTTTTTTAGCAAAGACCATCTGATGCAAAGCAAGCATCTTTGCTTCTTTAATTTGAAAGTTGATGTTTTTTTTTTACAATACCTCTCCCAGTGTTCAATCCTTTGGATAATCCGAGATGCGAGTGTTTCTACATTGAATGTAGACACTTTATAGAAAAGAAACTGCTGAGGATTTTCACAGCAAAGCCTTCATATATTGCATTAGCAAATGGAAATACCCAACCAGTCAGAAAAGCAAGATCTCTTTCAAAGACAACTTCTTTCCAAGATGAACCTGATACTATTAATGTTAAAACAGAAAAGCTTCACCTTCATTATTTTGGCTTAGAATTTAGATATCTCAGAGGCAAGGTAGGAATTTTAACCTCCTAGGCTCAGTTAAAACTCTTACTAGCATATTTGTTCAGTTCTGCAGTACTTAAGCAGTGTTTGCATCTCACTTCCATATAAGTGCCTGAGGTACAGCTGCTGCAGGCAAAAACCTTTAAGTCCATTTTTCTGTTTTACATTCTCAGGCTTGATACTGTGTTTGCCTGCCCTATGATGTTTCTTTTTAAAAGGTAACTGTAGTTCTGGTCTGAATTATGGATAGAGTAATGTTTACGGAATTCTCTTTTCTATGTTCAAATCCCTTCACGCGATTAGAAGTAGCTCACGTTAAATTAAGAACATCTATAGTTAAAGCTTATCCTAAGTAACTACCACAAAAAATTATCTGCAGACCTCAATTATTTTAGCTACAAGTAGGAGACATGATGATTATGATGAAATTATGCCCACTTGTGGAAGATGATAGTAAAAGCCTGGCAATAAAAGGTCTGCACGTCCTCCAGGCATGGAACTACTTTAGTCAGAGAAAAAATTTTTTATGGTAGACTAACATGCCACCAAATGTTTTCCGAGAGCAACCTGCACCCTTCATGCTACGTTACACCATTTCCAAAACAAAGGGAAGATGTACCAATGAATTACCACAGCAATTCTCCTCCAGCTGCTCATGCAGCACTCTGTAGGAGATCCCGCAGTGCTGCAGGGCAGTTACTGTCCGCAACAGCCTTTTAGCAGCGCCATCATGTGGCTTCAGAACACATAACAGTGATCAGACAAAATTTCCACTCGCTAGCAACTTGGAAAAGTCATGTACATTTATAGACTTCAAAGATCCTATAACACACCTAGAGGATTTTCTTCCTGCTCATAAAATTCAATATTACAAATGTATCAATGGTAACATGACCACAGCTCACCAGGAACCAACCATGACAGGAAAAAATTATCCACATCACATAGTTAATGGTATCCTGGCAGAGGCTACTACTTAGATAAAGCTCACATGGGAATAAACATAAGATGGGGATAGCTGTAGATGTAACAGAGGGAATCCAAGGAGCAGTTATCATTTACTGTAAGCTACAAGCCACAAGTGTAGCTTTGATGACGCACTGATTTGGGGGAAGTGATGCCTTTCAGAAGAGATGTTAAACAGAATTCTGACTACTGGGGAACTACAAAATCATCGCCAAGTTCTGGAAAAGTAAATTGTTAACACATGTCTTGGCCAAATTCCAACTTCCATAATTCATAAATTCTTTCTTAAACTGCCTTTGCAGGGATTAATTGGATATGGTATTCGTTTCTTGTTCAAAACTGCTGTGCTGTATTGATGGTTGCTGCCAAAATAGCTATCACAATTTGCTCAGCAATTGCTGGATTTCAAAACTGGGCATTGATTTGGTACAGCAGCAAGGAGCTGTACCACTACACAGCAGCAGCTGTACTAGTGCTGCATTAAAGTTGTTACTTCCAGAAGAAAATACAAACAGCAATTCAGTATCTATTTGCATTTAACACTGAATGAATCTGTGAAATATGTGAAATTCACAGGCATAAATACCAAGCTTCAGAAAGAAAGCATATTAGCCCACAAGTCTACATGAGTTTGAATTTGTTTTTTCTCCATCTGCTTCAGTTTTTTTACCTGGCAATTTTCAGACTGAGGGCAGTAACTCCCCAACCTTCTGGACCCATACCAAGAATCAGTTTGAAAATATCTGACTTACCATAGACCACTGGATAGACAGTCCCTCGGATTCCTGAAGCTGGACAATGCATGTTCTTCCCATTTAAATATACATTTAATTCTACATGGTCATATGTAATGCCCTAAAAGCACAAGTAATTAACAAAAAAACCCATCAACAACTTTATACATGTAAGGCTGCTGCTTAATTTAGCTTTCTTAGCCACAGCCAACTTTTAACATCATTATGCAAACCACAGCGTCCTAGAAAACCTTGCATGAAATATTCCTGCAAAGAACTAAAAGTTAATAAATGACCAGTAACATTTGTATTTGCAGATACTCAGGATTCCTTAATGCTTACTCAGTCTGGATGCAGCACAGTACTGCATACCGTATCTCACTGAGTTTACAAAATGATTTTCCAAACTATTCTTCAACAGGTTCCTTATCAAATGTTAAGGATATATAAAATTTTCAATTATTTCAACATTAAGCAGTTTGTGGTCTTCTTGTTTATATCTCCTCATGGAAATAACTTTAGTAAAGAGTGGTCTGTCCATGCTTCCATACAGAAACCTCTCTCAGCACATTTACTCTGCCAGCAGCAAGAGATCATGGTTTCATACACAGTGCTATAAATATATCAACTACACAGCAGAAAGCAAACACTAACAAGGTAATAAATTACTTGTTAGGTAAATGACTTCTGTCACTGTTTTGGCACGGCTGTGTGTGACAATCTGTGTTGTCCCTCAGTACTTCAGAAATCTATTTCTGTGACATAATAAAATAAATGAAAACTGGGGAATTAGCAGTAATACATCAGCTACTTTTCATAGAAACACAGAATGGTTTGGGTTGGAAGGGACCTTAAAGACCACCTAGTTATAGCCTCCTTGAAGCTGGTCAACTTAGGCTGACCAAATGCTGAAACACTCTGCAACCATCCAAAAAACAATTTCAGAAGGGGATTAAAAGAATAATGTAGTATCTGAGGGTAAAGGATGGAGGCATCACCTTAGCTTCTTAGGACTTCTAAATATGAAATTTCTAACCATTGCTACCGGACACTGCGAACATGACAGCAATAAAACATAACCCTTTGAACAAAGTCACTTAAAGATGGTTTGAGAAACCTGGAATAGCAAGGTACAAAAAATCTTAAGATTCTCCGTTTGTTCTCATTCTTAATAATTTTCCCAGTGAGCATTACTCCCCTCCCCACTTAATATCTCGTGTTCCCTATAAAAGTTTGGCTAAAAATACAATTCATCTATCGTCCAGGACCTATCTCTGCTCAGCTCTGTCCTAATCATTAACCAGTTAGCTGAAGGATCTTGAGTTTGGCTGGGCATGGTGCATAGCTCTGTAATGCATTTCAGCACATTATTTATTCAGGAAGGTCCCATCTCAATGTAAGATCCTTGTGATGGGAGTTATCCATCAGGTAGATACTGCAACTAGACTGCAAGAGAGCATTAGATGCTACTTTTCAAACACTGTCAAAGTCTGTCCCTCGTTCACAAATACATCAATGAGAATGAAGACCACTGAAGTCCACTGATACCCAGGCTGCTAATCCATCCAAACACAATGGGACTTTATATCAGCACTTCCCAAACTGGGAGATGCAAGCTGAATAATTGTACTGAAATGGTCAGTCTGACCACAGAGCTGTAAATAAGGGGAATCTAGGAACATCTGGAAAGTAAAGAAGGCTTAAGGAACTTACCACCACATCACCTTCCTGAGGAAGGTTGTTCGCTGGTAGTCTGTTTTTCTCCTCATTGTTATAGTAGAGAGCTCCATCATTTCTCATCACCAGGCTATGGACATCTCGACCAAGTGGAATTTGATTCAAGTTTGCTTTCTGAGTTGCAACTCCAATACCCCAAATCCCTAAAATGTGACAGTAACATGGTAAGAAAACAAACAAACCAACCAACCTCATTATTTTGAAGACTTACCTGAATCAGGACAGAATACAGAATGCCAGTGCTATGGCCGTACTACTACTATCTCTTGCACATAACAGAACTATCACAGGTTAGCCCTGGTAGGCAGCTAAGCACCAAGCAGCCATACACTCACTTCTCCCCCACAGGCCCCAGAGGGATGGTGGAAGAGAGAAGGAAGACTAAAACCAAGAAAACCTTTCTTGTGGGTAAAGACAAAAATTGTTTAACAAGCAAAGGAGAAGTGGAAGAAAGAAAACAAAACAAACCAAAGGAATGTAATGGCAATCACCACCTCCCACAGGCAGACTGAGGCCCAGCCAATTCCCAAGCAAAAGATGGCTAACCTCCCTAAAGCCACTCCTCTCCTTTTTGTTGCTTAGCATGGAACTACATGGCATGGAGGATCTCCTTGGTTAGATCAGGTTATCTGCCCGGTTGTGTCCCCTCCCCACCTCTTGCCCCCCAGCTGGAGGGTCAGAGTGAGAAACAGAGAAGGCCTTGATGCTGTGTAAACACTGCTCAGAAATAGCTAAAGCATTAGCCTGTTATCAGTATTGTTTTGGTCACAAATCTAAACCACAGCATCACAGGAGCTGCTATGAAGGAAGTTAACTCCATGCTGGATAGACCCAGTACAAGCAGTCAATAGAAGTAACCAGTATGTATCCTGAAAAAAAATTCAGAGAATTGTAATCACTTAGCTTAACTTTTATTCCCAGAAAAATATGAAAAGAGACTCTGAAACTGTAGGAGGATGTGAAAAATAAATCAAACTAGCATGGATTTGTGAACATTTCCTTTTCCCGCTGGTGAAACTATTCTTAGGGAAAAAGAAGAAACTGTAAATACAACAGATCTTGATTTGGTAATGCTTTTGAAACTCATACAACATTGAAATAGTCAGATTATGAAAACATGGTCTAGACCTTTTCAGATTATGAAAACATGGTCTAGACCTTTACAGCAATATAAATGCACGACTGGTTAGAAAACCGTATTCCAGGACTACTCATCACATCAAACCAAATCAAAAAAGATGATTCAAGTGGGGTTTGAGGTTTTGCAGTGAATGCACAAGGCCAGACACTGTTCCATATTCACATCAATTACTTGGGTAACGTGATGATGTGCTGGTTAAATGTGCTGCCAACACCAACCTGACAGGACTGCAAGCTCTTCAGAGGCCCCTCAAGTTTTAAACGATCCTGACAAATTGATAAGAGGCCTGAAGGAAAATGCATTTGCTTTTTCTGAATTATGAAGAACAGTAGGAACACTAAGTGGCACAAATACAATAGTAGCTTGGCAGGCAGCTCATAAAATATAATATGGGGGTTATCACAGACCACATGCTGAGCATGAGTCTGTGCCCTACTGTTGTGAAAAACTTCTGGACATATGGCACATATAAAGCCAACACACTGTATGTACAACAGATGAAGGATGTCTACTGCTGCTGCAGCTGGAGCACAGCATCCATTTTAAGCATCGTATCTCAAGACAAATTAGTTCAGTTAGAAATATTCTCAAACAAAACCAATCAAAAATGTAAAAACATCACCTATAAGGAGACAATTAAAAAAAAACCCAACAAACCAGCCTGGGGCTGTTTAATCTGGAGAAGACTAAAATGAGGCAAAAATATAATAAAATCAGTTTCAAAAGACAAAATTGCAAACCAGTTTATTCTTATTCTTACATGCTCAGGATGAAAAGGACAAGAGTGTGAACATGATTCAGATTACACGCCTAAAACCTTTCCAATGGTCAGGGTGACCCCACAGTGACACTTCTGGGAATCAAAGTTTTAAGTTAAGTGATCTACAGTCCTCCTGCCTTGAGGCACAGAAATAGACAAGACACAGCTTGTCTTGTCTATTCCTGTCATGAGAACCAGGAGAGTTTATTTCCTGTGTTTCTCAAGCACAAGAACATGGATATGTATCTGTGTGAATAATGACCATATATGAATAACAGCTGCAGTGGATTCTTCCCCTAACATATAGGACTCTAAAATTGCCAAACTAAGACTGATCTGGGGTTTACATACAGTTTAAAACCAAGCAACTGGTTTGACTGCAAGGTGTTTTGGACAGATTTGTGTTCATGCTGCCTGCACTCCAATCCAATTGAATGCAAACAACCCTTACCCAGAAAGTGCCAGGTTCAAGCTCCAGCTGGTACTGTAAGGCCTGGCTGTCTCTGGACTAACACTTCCCTTCTTCCCTTTCCCTATGTACTTAGGGAAAGAACCGCTTCATTTTCACAGTGTCTGTTGTTTTTAAAAATACAGGGTAACTTTTAACATCAGAAAACAGGCAAGCCAGAAGCATGCTCTGTACTAGTGAAGTTGGCTGTATTAATGCTTCTGAATTCCATTCACTTTCAGCTGCCTTGCACCATATCTGTGCAAAACGAAGAAACAGGGTGCTGAAAGGCTCCTCTTGATAAGGCGGTGTTGGAGTAAATGCTGCACATTTGATTTGAACAGCGAAGTGTAGCACAAGGAGTGTTACCCTTGCTTGGGCAAACACGGTGCATGTTAAAAGCAAATGGAGGTAGACAAATAGCTATAAATACTGCTGGATAAACTGCACTATTAAAAAAATACTTCACAGCGACAGTATTTTATGTGGTTATAAGCATTTATTTACCAAAAAACATTTCTAACATATGCTAACTGAAAAACATGCATATAACAGCATATAAAACAATATGGTGTTTTTTAGGGGGTGCACTCTTTTAGTAATACACTTACCATGTTTTTTAATATTTCAGAGCCATGATAAAAAAGAAAAAAAATTTCCTGTTACACAACGTCAGCTTATAGACCTCTCCAACATTCACAAGTTCAAGGATGCAATCAGAAAGATTCACGTGCTCGGCACTGGAGATACGACCACCCGCAGTCACACCAACACACCTTCCAAGTTTAAAGTTGTACGTTTTTGCTGACTAACCTGTGGACTGGATTTTAAACTCAAAATAGCTCTTGTTCTGATGCAAAGGTGCATTGGCTAAGCAGCCTCCCGTGCCACATATTCTTCTGCCATTTTTAACAATCACAACATCTGTTCCTGCAAGAAGAAAAACACCCGCAAAACTTCAAAACATCTTTAGAAGTCTGGAAGCAGCCCTTAAAAGCCCTAAACACTGAGAACTGTTTTTGTTCTTTCTGCCCATGTAAGAGCTTCATTACCTTGTGAGAATAATGATGATAGGCTATGCTTTGAAGTAGGAAAAGGAAGCCTGTTTATGGGGTAGTTCATCTTCCAACTAGGGTTTATTTATTTAAAATCTATATGCTGCTCTAATTTTGCCTCTTGGGTTTCACGGCACCATGCTGATTACAACCTTTGCTCAGCCACATCAGAAGAATAACTTACTATTTAGTTAGAAAGGGTTCACTGTGAGACCAGAACCCTGTACCCTGTCTCTATACACAGAAATATGTCTGCTAAGAGAAGAAAAGGCACATTGAGTAGAAACACTGGATGGAACTGCAAGGTGTTTAGTTATTCTCTGAAAAAATCCTTTTATTAGAAACATGACTGGCAAAACACAGAGAAGAAGCCCTCTGCCAAATTTTTCTTCTCCAGTGAAACACTTCTTCCTTAGGCACTGTTGTCACTGTGAGGAACATGGGAAACAGTCAAAGTTCACTGATACAAATGAATAAAACCAGACTAACAATTGAGTGGCTGGGATCAGCCACACTGCCTTCCTCCTAGCTCTATCCCCTGCTCTGCTGCAGCAGCTGACCCAGATCCCTTCTCTCCTCAACAACGCCCAGGCATAGCTTTGTGGACAGCTCATCCTCAACACGCGGTATGGACCAGACACCCGTGGCTCATTCTGCACCTTCACTCCTGTAACCCCCTCCTCTGCATCACCATCCCTTGTGGAATGAATAGGATCTTCAGCCCTATCAGCCTGCCTTCTCTCCTCAGGGAACCCCTCTGAAACTGAGGTGCACCCCTACATACTCATTCTGCTAAGCCTCGACTGAATTTAAGCCAAAGTGAGACTTCTTCCTGAAAACTGCCAAATCCTTCCGGAGAAGTAGCCCAAAAGCGACCTCCCCAGCACACTTCACTGGGAGGAGAGAAGGCGCCTGGGGCAGGGCACATTCCCCCTCCGGCCAGTATGGTTACACGGTATTAACTCCACACCGCTACCAGCGCCACACTCAGGCTTCCCGGGTATAAGCCTCCCGCTCGCCTCAAGTCAGCCCCGCCGCGCCGCGGACCTGCGGCCTTTCCCCACCGCCGCCAACCCTCACTCTCCGCTCTCCCTCCCGCCCCACGGCCCGTCGCAGGCGGCTCATGGTGAGGCGAAGGGAGACCAGGTCCCACCTCACCCTGCTTACCCATGCGCTGCGTGTCGAGGTGCACCGCCGGCATCTCCTTTAGAGGGATGTGGCCGGCACCACCACCCCTGCAACAGGAGAAGCAACACCACACAGAGGCGGCCATGACTGGCCGTACCCCAGCGCGCCGCGCAGGCGCAACAGCGGCCAGTGGGGCGGGCGGGGCAGCGCCCCCTGGCGGGCGGGAGGTAGCGGGGCGGGCGGGCTTGCTTTCCTGTATGCCCGCCCCGGCGCGTCATGGCGGGAGGCGGGGGGCAGCGGCGCCTGGGGCAGGCTGTGCACACGGGGCCACGTTAAATCCAGCACGTCCTGAAAAATAAAATCCCATTAAACTTCCGCCTTTCCTCAGGCAGTGAAAATTCAAATGGAAGCGAGTGCAGGACAGGAACCCTCTGCTTCTCTGCAGCTGTGGGGTAACGTGGTGGTGGCTTGAGGTGTGAGCACACAAGCCTCTGCATGCAGCCACCTAAACAACAAGTTACACATGTATATGTGAGAATATATATATATATATGCATGAATGAAAGAGGAAACTGATCATGATGGGCAGATAGTACATGTCACATCAGCACACTCCACAGTGGAAATGTACCGGGCAGTTATTTCTGTCTCCAAGTAACAGGAACCCCATAAGAACCCCATTCCTTCCTCCCTTCCTCCCTTCCTTCCTTCCTCCCTTCCCTTCCTCCCTTCCTCCCTTCCTCCCTTCCTTCCTTCCTCCCTCCCTCCCTCCCTCCCATAGGAACCCTATTTATTTATTTATTTATTTATTTATTTATTCGTTCTTTCCCTTCCTTATTTTAATTCTTTCTCAGAAAAGTCAACAGACAGGACTACTCGAAGCAAAGGTTTGTGCAGCCAGGGCCAGCTACCATGGTTGCCTTGATGGTGTCTGCCCCCTGTGTGTTTCCCTTTCTCCTCATCTTCCAGGCCTGTCTGGCTTGTGAGTGTTAACTTTTTCGGGTCCTGTTTGCTTCTAGAGCACCTCCTCATTCGTTCAGAAGTTTTGGTAAGCGTTAAACTGAACTGGAAAGACTGCTGCAGTGAAAAGCCAGCATGCTATCATTGCGCTTAGCAGTCGTTTTGCAAAGCATGCTTTGGGACCAGCTTTGTGTCCCTTTCATAGAGGCAGAATGCCACTTAATTAAAAAAGCTGTAGCTTTGCTTGTAGCCTCGGGTTAAACAAGTGTTTCTTTAGCAAAAGCCCTAGAGCTGTCCCTACAGCATCCAGAACAGGGGCCACAAACTGGGCTCCAACAAGTATAACAAACAGTGATAACACGGCTATAAAGCCCACCTGTATCTACTTCACGTTTTTATTTATCTACAGGCAAATATCCAAGACATGT